TGTATCCTAGTGTATGCAGTGTATCCAGTGTATCCTAGTGTATCCAGTGTAGGTTTTAATCATTTGCGGTATCTTTTAGAGTATGCAACTGATGGTTCCAAGAGGTAAACAAGAGAAAGCATTTGATTTTTTCATTGCTTTTAACTCAACACTTCTAGTTTTAATTGGTTTAAATTGTGTTGTAAAAACTTGGTTTCTTTTAGGGGAAAAAAAATTAGCCACAACCATGCCCAAATTTTAAAAATTTAGTTTTTTCGAAAATCATTTCCACCCTTTTTATACCAGAGTACCCCCGGAGTAATTTCTTATCTGATCAGACTTTTTTCTATCATAGCCTTTAAAAAATCTCTGAAACTGAAGTTACAGAAGTTACATTTCACTTTCCTATTCCACCTCTTAAAGACACTCTGCTTATACCATATACTGTCCCTGTTGTCAGCTATTAAAGGGATAAAAATTAGTTTTAAGTGTGATGGCATATCTCATTTACGCACTACTATATATAAAGAATGAAAAAATCATTTGTTTAAGCACAATACTCAGCTTATGTGTGTGTAAACCTTGTCAAGTATGAAATGGCACTTAAATAMCTCAAACATTGGTAATRCAGTCATTGGTACACCAGGCTTATTATCCCTATCTGTTCTCAGTATTCATGCAACTATCACATAAATTATAGCTAGGGATAGCAAAAATTAAAAATGGCACATTGAGAATAATATAATTAGGATTTCTAACTAAGGATATCCAATGTCATCAAAGGAACCCAGTAAACCTTAGTTAATAGTGGATGAGTGCCAGTGTCATGGAGTCTTACATAAAGTAGAATACTAGTAGATGAACTAGGATAAAGTAGATACACTGGTATTACGCTCAGAGCATGAATGCACTATGAGAATACAGTATACATTGGGATTAAGGGATACATTGGGATACACTGCACCAGGATGCATTAGAATACACTGGATACACTAGATAACACCGGATACACTAGGATACAGTGGATACAGTGGATACGGTGGATACACTAGAATACACTGGATAGACTAGATACACTAGGATACACTGGATACACTAGGATACAATGGATACACTGGATACACTAGGATACAGTGGATACAGTGGATACACTAGGATACACTAGGATACACTGGATACACTAGGATACAGTGGATACAGTGNACTGGATACACTAGGATACAGTGGATACAGTGGATACACTAGGATACACTAGGATACACTGGATACACTAGGATACAGTGGATACAGTGGATACAGTGGATACACTAGGATACAGTGGATACACTAGGATACAGTGGATACACTAGGATACAGTGGATATACTAGGATACAGTGGATACACTAGGATACAAAGGATACACCAGGATACACTAGGATACAGTGGGAGAGCGTCATCATGCACGATAACAGAAAGCATACCGCCAGGACATTATAATCAGGCATACATGAAGTACTTACCGTCGGATGTCTGACCTTTGACATGGAATGTCTAACTCGGGCAAGAACATCGTCGAGTACCCACAAACCAGCGAAATACACACGTAGCCTATACAAATTAGTAGACCCTAATTCCATCGTGTTCGTTTGTTGTTATTTCACTATTACATACTAACTTACAGTCAAACAAGCTCACGCGTTGACCCCTAGATTCGATTAATGAAACCATTAGTCAACACATAAACACGACACATAAACAAGGCCAAGACTATTTCTGGCCGCCATGTTTTCTTGGCCTTCTTGTGTTAGCACTGATTAACCAATCAAAATGTCGTATATTGAATTTAAAGTTGATTGGAAATTTTCCTATCTTCGTTTTCGACGTTGTAAATTTCAACTGAATAATTAAATCAAAATTCGAAAATTCAAATCATTAATCGACTCTATGGGTCAACGCGTGAGCTTGTTTGACTGTATGATATCTGTTTCACGGGTATGTGAAAATCACTCAAATCCTTATTTAACCTCAAATATACTATGATCAAATTCAAGACTTGTAAACATTGAGTTTACAGTCCTTTAACTAAACGTTGTCGTTTGATCGGCTTCATCCCTACGCGCCTAGACCGAAATAGATCATGGGGATAATTAATTCACAGTTACTAGCTGCCGCAAATGTTATCTAACACGTCTTGAGCTTGCTTTTTTCGATCCAATTTTWAAAATAAGATTTAAACTGGCGAGCAGTTTGGATGACGCTAGATCCGGGTACTGGGTAATTTACCCGTTATCCTTTTCGGTCTAGGCGCGTAGGGATGATCCAATCAACGACAACGTTTGGTCAAAGGACCGTATACACAAAGGACTACGGACTACCCGGGCTAAGATTGGGAAATATAATTGACTAGTATGGGAAAAAGTGACCGTCCCCGCGGTCCCTGACACGTAGTAGATTCTAAACATAGTTGAATGTTTTAAAAATGTATTCGTAAATGGATGAAGTTTTGTGGGGTCTTGCAATGTGTTTTGTTTTTCAGCCAATCGGCGAAACAATCAAAGTCACGAGTACGAAAAATTTTTTAAAAATCATTACAAATTTCTAGCATGATATTGGTCTCATTTTGATAAAGGGACTGATATAGTGATTATTTTCCAAGCTTTGGTGTACTTTACGAGTTTGAATTCAATAGAAGGACACGAAAGCGGGATTTTTACTTTTATTTTTATTTTCAATTATAATCATTTTTTTAGATAGACTAGTTGGTTTGGTCTTCTTCATGGCTCCCATCCCCTCCCCTCGCCGGAGAGCCATATTCACAGGCTACTTCATGGCCAATATCGCCTCTTTTATAAGTGAATGAGAGTGAAGCTTTCTCCATCTGGAGTCTTTTTCCCTAGCTGGTTCATTCGCTATCTTATATTCCAACTATTTTCCTAGCATGGTTTCTTACAAGCTTCATGAGTTGTTCATTTTACCCTACTAGAAGCAGCTGTACGTATGGCTGCTGTATTTAAACATCTCTAGCTATTGTATATGCATTAAAAACAAAAGGAAAATTTCCAACCAAAATCTCCTAAGATTTACTTTAGATAAAAGCAAATACGTACACCAAGTCTAGTAACTAGTATTCTGATAATGAAATAGACGCGTTGATTATAACTGAGCTTGGCGTCTTCGAGCTCGTTGTAAAGTTTCCGAAGCCATCGCCCTTCGTTTTTCCATGGCTTCTACCGACAATACATCACTTCCTTTGGAACTGTAGCTACAGACTGACCTCTCATCATCAGACGAGAAAGAGTCAGCCTTGTCGTTGGGATCTTGTCTTCTACCTGTGAACAGCTTTCGCGTTGCTCTAGATATCGCAGGGCGCTCGGGCTCTTTGGGAGGAGAAATCTCTTCATTGCCAAACGGTGCATCTATTTCTGATAACGAGATTATATCTGATTGTGAATCTGATGCAACGACAGTAGCAGAAGAGCTTGATACACCATACGGTGGGATTACTAAACCGCGCGCGGGTTTATATTCGGACCACGCCTCGCGTCTTGGTTCTTGTTGTTCGTCTGATGCTATGGTGCTCTCATGGGAGATGGTATCGATAGAATGAGTTTTCCTCAACGATGGGCCGGGAAGAGCGAGTTCTCTATTCCATAGGTATTCATCTTTCTCATTATCACTATTTTCTGAAGCAGATTTCTTGTGATATGCTAGCTGTCTGTCTGTTTTGGTGGTCGGGTCGTCAGGTGGACGCTTAGTGATCTTTTGGGAGTGGTCGATTTGTGGGGGTTTTTCTGCTGTTGTTGGTAACGGTGGTGGTGGGGCTTTGGTCTTAGGCGGCCCCCCTCCGTCTTTCGTCTTCTCGTCACCCTCCGCTTGTTTTACTTGGTCATCTTTATCTGGGGCAGTCACAACACTAGGTTGTCTATTCTTATTCTGTGGAGGACTCCTAGGATCAGCTTTGGATGGTGTTCCTGTTCGTTCCCTTGGCTTCTCTGCAGCATCATCTGTTTCCACTAAGAAACCATTTTCTTTAAGGTTTTTTAGTAAGCTAATAAAATAAGACCCTTCTCTTGCTCGAGCTTTGTAAATGCGCACTTTTTCACGTAGCTCTATCACCTGAGTAGACAAATAGTATTTATGTGAGATAAATATTAAAGGATCAGCTCAATTTGATACATTACAACTGCAGCACAAATATATATTTCATATATTTTCTCATACACAAATGTTACATTAGTTTGACAAAAGCAATAACACAATGCACTGAATACAGGGGCCGATCCAGGAATTTGAAAGGGGGGTGACTACTACAAAGGTTTTACCAGGGATTCGAGGAAAAGGGGGGTGGGTGTTACTAATGTTATACAGTACTGAGAAATTTGAGCAAAAGGGGCTAGTCACCCCTTTTACCACCCCTGGATACGATACCACACCTGGAATATTATACCACATACCTGTTGGTACCATGGGTGGATACTTGTAGGTTCCTGCTTATTCTCATTGTCTGGAACCTAAAAAAAACATCCATGTTTGTCAACAAAATAAGAGTTGATTGATGGAAGCCAAACCTTAGAGCAGCTGGTTTCTAAAGGTTGCTATCAGTGTTGGCCTACCCTGGGAAGGCCTGAATGGACTTCAACACTAATGACAGGGAGAATGATAGTTACGTTATGTTTATAATAGGAGCGGCCGTGTTGTATTGACTATCAGTCACGAGCCGGAGGCGAGTGATTGTATGGCTGATACAACACGGACACGAATGTTGTAAACAGCTTGTGAAATGCCGTGAACAATTCATAAATCCTTTGGGACATTTTGAATTCATATGTTAATATTTAGATACAACCACTAGTGCTGTATAAGAACTGTATACATCCACTAGTGATTATATCTAACTAGCATTTTCATTGTAAGGTTTGTATCGGGTTTACATGATATTCATGTGACCTGATTTCTAAAGCTGGATTGGCTTAGACCCTCATTAAATATTCATGAATTTTACAAGTGATAGCTATCGTATCATATATCTGAGTTGATTGCCTTATCATAAAAATGGGTGTAAGAAGTTGGGGTTTATATACATGAATCCAGATGCAAAGGCCACATGGATTGGCCAGATTATACAAAAAAAGTCTGAACCAACTTCTTTCCAGAATAGTAACAAAATTGACTTGAAAACAAACACATTCTAGAGCCAGTATTAAGGGTCTTCATTCAATTTTGAAATAATAGAAGGATCATTGGTAGTTTAAGCAGGAGAATTTTCCTTAGTTACTGAAGCATTCTCCAATCTCTGACCCTAAATGAAAACTCTGAGTTTGGAGTAATAATTATTTATCTTTCTTCCTCTTTTTAGAATGAGCTAAAGAAATGAAAAGGAGTAGTGTTACTGACCTTATCAGGGTGGAGAATGTGAGGATGTTCTGCTCCTAACCATGCACCTTTGACGTACTCATACTTTACAGGAGACTTGAAATTAGCACGGTATTCACTTTGGAATCTGGTATATGTGAGGAATACACAGCAATAACAGTGAGTCTAGAGCTGGTGATCTAATAATTATGTCATATAAAGGTATTGGTATTTCACTAAGTGGAATGGGATGTCTTCCATATTTTGAGAAGCATGGGTGACAGTTTTAGTGGTGTACGCACTTGTCTCTTGCCAATGGACCTTTCTCACATGGTTAATTTTTTTTGCCCACGTAGCCTCACATTCAAGAGCTTCATGATGAGTTCAATCAGGCATAAACAAGGTTTTTTATTCATGTATGTCCTGTATTCATGTTTACATAATCTTAAGGACTTATGATTATGATAAAAACATAACTTACGTCATAGTTTTCTTTGGAACAGGAGGTGAAGGCTGTGGTGGTTTACTTGATGGCCTCCCTGCAGGAACACTAGGCTCTTTCCATTCTAATAATATAACCAATAAAAAATGGATTTATTTTTAACTGATACAATCTGAGGGGGACTCTCTTGAAAAGTGGGTAGGGGGCTCGACGGATGGTTATGTAAATGACCCTAAAAGGTACGCATAAATTAACTGAGATGCTAATATCGACCCTCAAAAGTACGACCATATTTAAAATGACAACATTTCTAACCATTATATTCTTGTATGACTTTTAATATTTTTCAAAATTAACAAATCTGACCCTAAAAGGTACGGATTCAGCCGGGAGTCAGCCGGAGATCTCATTTTTGACCCTAAAAGGTCCATCAAGCCCCCCTACCCACTTTTCAAGAGAGTCCCCCCCCGGRCCTAATACAAAATCCTGGATGGTACACCCCCCTTGAAAAAATCCTGAATACCCATACATACCAATCAGGTGCTTGTCTAATAACTCTTTTCTTGTCTCAGGCGAGGATATTAATGGGTGTTTCACAAACTGTAACTGGTACTCTGTTTTCTTCGGCATCTTTACTTTACTAGCTTTAACTGGATGGTCATCTCTGTGTACCCCATAAATCATCTTTTCTGCTGAGAGGATTGGAGCTTCTTGTTCTAAGGGCTTCTTCCAGTCAAACTGTTTTTTGTATTCTGATTGATATCGTAATCTGTCACGGGTTTTCATGGGTGGAGCCAGGCCAGCTTTGTACTGTAAAGCCCGATTCTCCTTTTAATAGGAAAACACAATCAATACTTAATATACAGTAGAGAGAATAAGAGAAAAATATCAAATGCCCTTGGCGGGAATCGAACCGCCAAGGGCATTTGATATTTTTCTCTTATTCTCTCTATTTCATTACGCACACCGAACGCATAATTTATTACTACTATACTTAATATAGAGTAGAGTAGATTAGCCTTTTCAGTAATGAACCTAATATAAATTCTGCTTTCTAATTGGTTGGATGTGTGTGCTTTAATTAATACAATACTCCATTTTGCAGTCCCATTTAGTGACCACAGATAAGAGTTCCAAGTTGAGGTTAGAATTACCACTCATAGTAAAACTATAATATTAACATTTGCAGCAACTGGAACTATTATCCGTGGTCATTGAATGAAACTGTAAAAAGGAGTATTGCATGCAAATAATGTTTATACCCATACATTTTATGCATGTGTATAAATAACACAAAGAACATATACAGTAAATCTGATGATACGATAAGTCATCATTATGCGGTGGTAAATTTATGTTACTATTTATAGAGCGGGTGCATGTTAAGTCATTGTTGCCATCTTGGTTACGACAAGTTATCATAAGGCGGGGGTACATGTATGTTACTATCAATAGAGCAGGTGCATGTTAAGTCATTGCCGCCATCTTGGTTATAACGATAACAAAGCGTTCCTCATTATCTTCTCTTGTTATATCAACCAAGATGGCGGCTGTTTCATAATAGCAATAACATTTCCTTTTTCAATAACTTCTTTCAAGTTACTTGATATTTCAATATGAGCTTTAATTACCTTCATCGCAGACTTAGAAGGTTTCAGTAAATCATCTTTTTTCTTTAAACCTCTTCGAGGTGGTTCTTGGTCATTTTGTTCAAGTTGTAGTTGTGGTTTTCTTGCTAAAACAGGACTCACTTCATGTGGTATGAAATTTGCTTTGTACTCACTCTCAAACTATTTAACAAAAGAAACCAAAAAATAGTAAATCTTAGAGAAATTAATTGACAAAATAACAAATCAAGTTCAATTGTATAATATTTATAGCACACATATTATTACAGTACTTATATGAATAAGAATAATAATTCAATAATCATAACTAGGCTTTCATATAAGCTGTGTGTTTTATTTAGCCCGAAGTATATCATAAGAAAGTTTAAATAAAGTTAAAATGAAACTACATTAGAAAATTAGTTATATCCAGTGTAAATAACAAACACATAAACAAAAACTGGGTTGCCTGTGTATGAACAGCGAAAATTAAAAACTTCAGGTAAAAACGCTTTATTCTGCCCAGGAAACAAGGATTAAATACGTAAATAGTTTTGGTATAAGTTTYAAGAGCAGATTTAGAGATAAATGTGAGAGACTAGCTAAGGTGTCAAAGAAAAGAGGAAATGACGTTGTTGTTCAAAATCGTTCGTTACGTAGCGAGACAACCGTGAAAAAAATATGAATTAGGCTAAAAAAACTCCATTTTTTGTGATTATTATTACGAATTATGAATTAAAAATCATTCCATACCCTATTCCTGGGAGCCATGTTGAAATGGGATTGGTAATTTAGCGTTAAAAGGTAGTAAAATGAAGCGAACGTTGAGACATAGTTAATCCATGTGGTGATCAGTCTAAACAAACCGTCAAACATTCCACACACGGTCAAGAGGTCTGGCGTAAAGGGAGATGGTTCCCAACTTGCATTAGATTCAAGCAGAGGAATACCGTACTATACAATCATTCAACCTCTACTATTCATTATACAATCCCTGTACTTCACAACAACTCACGTTCTATACTCCTAAGGCATCAGCCGAGCTTCAGGTACCTTCAGATCTCGTCTACAGCTTTTAGATCGCGTAGTACTAGGGGGTTTCAAGTCTGGCATGTGGGGATGAAATGTCGGATAAGCCCCGAGTGACATAAGCTGACTGAGATGTAGCTGATCACGCCTTGAAACCTGCTGTCTCAGAGGTGAATAATACACAGTTAAAAAGAGCAGTTTAATCGGTAAGTCTTTTTTCATTATCTTTAATTCTCTGATCTAAAATACCCCAAGATCGAACGTTCGATCGAAAGGCTTCGAGACCCCAATTAATTAATTTCTAAGTATGAATTTGCTTGAAATACATGTAAGAATATTGCTCAACTCGCTAGAGATCTTGTCGTCAAACTTTGACATAAATTTGTCGTGATTCTCTTTTAGCAATTTTCTCTGAAACTCAACTTCAATTACGGTAAAAGAATATACTTTGAGGCTGTTCTTTGAGGTTTCTTTACCGTTAAGTGTCGCGGGTCAGTGGTTTGGCTGTTTGAGAGCTACGTATTGAAGCTAAAGTTTGGCGGTTCATTCGAGTGCCCTGCACAAATAGAAATACTCCTGAACGTATTTCTACGATCTCCAAATTCATTTAAACGTGTTATTTAGTTGCTGATAATTACTGGAAAAACTAACTATTTGGTTCGATCTGTCAACTTAGGGAAATTTAGAAAGATCAGCAGAATCGTATCGGAAACAATCAGCTCAAAAACCCAACCTTAATTCCTTTGCCCATGCTTTACTTGTCCGAGTATTACTAGTATGAATGTCGGTACATTTTGTTTTCAAATGCCATACGGTTTTTCTTCATTGTGTGAGAAAACATCGCCTTGGGTTGAAAATTTATTTGTGTGTTTAATCATCGTTTTGAAAGCCTTTATACACACAGATTAAACAATGATATAGCTGGTGAATTTGACAACGCCGTATTATATTGCTTTAATTATGGTGAGCTGAAACTAAATGTGACACGAAAACCACATATGGAAATTGTTTTTTAACCAGGGGAAGTACCTATTGTGTTTAAACCCTGTACCTACTGCTTTGTTTTTTGATAAAAAAGTAAATAAAATGAACATCTTATTTTCATTCTCTTTCCTTTTTGATGGTCATTAATTCTTCCTTTGATATATATAGCCATGCATCCACCTTGCAGCTGCTTTAATAGCTCAGWGGTGTGCTGAAAGAAAGTGATACTTTCGATAGATGTTTATTATTCTTGTCAGCTATAGAGCCATTCTAGATTGTCTTTATTAAAACACAAAGACATAACTGAACTCTCATAGACCTGGTACCAGCAGATCTCCCCATAAGATAGATATATTTATGCCGCCTGTATCTATTGATTTGCAGAGATGCTTTCATGAAATGAATATATAGTGAATTTATTCAGATTATTTGTCATGATTAACAAAACTTTAAAAAGCTTTTTGCATCTAAATTAAGCAATGTTTTATAGCAGAAATCTGAATTTCTTCCTAATAATAATTCATGGTAAAAAGTTTTTAATGTAAACTTTCTTTGTTGCAGATTATATCATGACCGTTATGGCCAAAAACAGACCAGAGAAAATCTTCTGTTCAATTGTTCTTACCCTGTGTTTATGGAATATATGTTATGCTTATACAGAATTACCAACTCCTGGTGTTTTAACAAATATTATAGTTGACAATGTAACTGGCAACATTTACATTGGAGGCAGTAACTTTTTACTAAAAGCAAGCAGTGACTTGGACATTCTTAGACAAAATAGCACAGGACCGAAGCCTGACAACCCCTTATGTACACCTCCTCCCCATTCATGCAAGGAAACTAGAGTTCCTACAGATAACCACAATAAAATTTTACTCATTGATGAATCGCAACGAAAACTCTTAACATGTGGAAGTTTATACCATGGTTATTGTGAGGTAAGGGATTTGAATGACCTCGACATTACAGTGCCAGTGTCAAAGCCATTTGTTGCATCAGGTCATCCAAATGCTGCTGTTGGTTTTATCGCACCGGGCCCATCTGAACTTGGGGGAAATGTACTCTACATTGGAACAACCTGGTTTCCAAAAATTGTGGAAACCTACACTGATATCTTCGCTGTTTCAAGTAGAAGCATTGATTCTTCGGGTAACTTGTTTGAGCTTGCATTGGATGGAGGAAAAGTCACAGCTTTGAAGTTTTCTGATTATAATTATGAAGTTCGCTATGTGTATGGGTTTTCTCACAGTGACTTTAGTTACTTCATAACAGTTCAGGAAAGTTTGGCATCTTACAAAAAGAGGGCATCCAATCCTTCGGCAATAAAAGAATATGAAACTAAAATAGTAAGCTTGTGTCAAAAAGATAGTAATTATCAATCGTACACAGAGATTCCTCTCAAGTGCTTGTCCAGGAGTGGAGTTAATTTCAATATTGCTACATCGGCAGTGATAGCCAAAGGAGGAGATAAACTTACCAAAAAGTCAGGAATACCGTTGAATTCTGAAGTACTTTTTATAACATTCAGCAAGTCAAACCCTGGCTCAAGTGAACCAACACAAAGTTCAGTTCTTTGTTACTATTCAATGAAAGAAATTAAGGAAGGCTTTAACGCAAATATTCAAAAGTGTTCTGAAACCACGGGTATGCCTCTTGGTGTACCATGGACTGCTATAGGTAAGGGCACTTGTGTATCCCAAAAGTATTCAGGAACTTGCCCTTCTAATACGAATAACCATCCGCTTGGAGGAAGCATCAGTGTAAGCACAACAGCAATACTGGAAAAGAACCAGTCTACGTTGTTGTCTATCAGTGCRTTACCATATGAAGACTACACTGTGGTATTTCTTGGAGACAACAATGGACATTTGTTGAAGGTTAGAGAAAAATGAATAATTTAATGTATGTAAAAAAAATTTAGTTTAAATGATAAAGCACTCTCATGACCAATTAGCCCAAACTCATTATTAACTAATTATGAATTGACTCCCCCTTTTATATATACACATAGACAGAACATGAAAAAATCTAAATTGTGGATTTAAATCTCATTTGCAAGGAAAGACATGGATTTATGTCTTTTATTGTAACCAACACTGTATAGATTTGAATTTAGATACATTTTATCATAAGATATAGGGATTTAGAAAGCATAGTGATATTAAATTGACTTACCTACCAAGGTGTTATTCCAGAATGTTATATTTTTGTGGATTTTAGCTAGTGTGCAAAAGATCAGAGAAGCCTAATTAAAGTTCTTAGTACACTTGAGAGAACAAACAAATAACTCTACTCTTCATCACTTGAGATCTATTTTTAATTTAACTTACCTTAATTTGATTACCTAATATTAGTGTCTTTCTCATTGACAAGGTCTCTGTTGGAGACAGTAGTTCATTGTTAACCCCTTACCATGATGAAGCTATCTCGCAAGGAAAACCTCTCACCAAAGTGGTCCTAAGTAAAGACAGACAGTCTCTTTATGTGGCAAATGATCTGAAGGTACATATAACAAACCAAGACATTGTTTGAATTCATGTAGACTTCCATAGTTCTCTAGATCTTACTTATATATCTTGTTCATTAACGGTGACGCAGACATACATGTACATGTAGGTTGGAATTTGGAAGTCTGGTAATTATAATAACTTGGGCTATGAATTTTAAGTGTTGTCTAATTAAAATAGCAGTGCCCACACAGGGCTCTGATTGCTTCAAACATTGTCAGTATCTTATAGCTCTCAGGGTTGATATAAGTACTTTATATTAAAATTCCATAAGGGTTAGGAATAATTTTTTTCATAACAAATTTGGAAATTTTCATACAACCATCCATGTACGTGTACAGTATGCACTGTTGTCACATTTGCTCAAAATTTTTAATTTCCTTGATATTTTTATATATTTAGGTTTTCAAGGTTCCTGTGGAAGACTGTTCATCTCATTCATCATGCAAGTCCTGTACAGGTCATGGCGATCCTTTTTGTGGATGGTGTACTCTTTACGAAAAGTAACTAAAAATTAGATTATTGTCTTTTGTCCGATYAGATACGAATTTTATCTTATCATAATTGCTGTAAAAAACAATATTCATGATATATTGTTTGCAGGATGCTATAAAATTTAATAAACATGTCTTTTCAAGAGTTTATTGCAAGTTTCTTTTCTACTTGATAATATTTTAGGTGCAGTAGAAGAGCTTTGTGTGCTAATTCAGCTGTACATCCACTTCGCTTTACTACAAATGCTTCCCAATGCATTCAGTTTGTGTCTACTAAACCAGAGAGGTTTCCATATGGGAGTGTCACCCAGGTACATGTAATATCAAAATAACAATGTATAGTCTGCAAAATAGATGAAACTTATAAATTGAAATTTATTTTTCAAAAAAAAATTTCAAGCTTTCAGGCTTCTGTTATCTGTGATACTGTAGTTTAGTCTTGTTTAAAGTAAGCTRTTCATGCTAAAGACACCACTACAGCTCCATGCAATTTTCTAAAATCATTCAAATTTATTCTGGTTATTTTGTGAATGATTTATTCTCTTCATTGAGGCTAAACCTGTATAAATGACAACAAGCTATACAACCATGTGTTCCTGTTATTTTACATCCCTTGTGTTTGGATGATTTTGTCATATTACATATTATTTTCTTGATGTTTGATGTTTTGTCTTACCTAGTTTGATGCAACCATAAAGAGCATGCCTCCGTTGTTGGCTGGTGAGACATATAAGTGCTATATCAACAGTAAAGAGAGACCAGCAGTGGTGTTCTCTAATGGTACAATACAGTGTAGTACACCTCCTAAAAGCGACTTGCCACCAATTACCAGTGATACAGGTATGCAACTGTTACCCATCATCAAACAGCCAATGATTAATACTCCAGGGAAAGACTTACCATCACCCGGTTAGCTCAGTTGGTAAGAGCATCAGTCTGTTGTTCAAGCCTCGGCTGGACCAACACTCAGGGTCTTAAGATAACTGATTAAGGTGCTGTCTTTGTAATTACATCTACAAATGGTTAGACCTTCAAGTCTTCTTGGACAAGGACCTAAAACCGTAGGCCCTGTCAGTCTTTACTATATGACTCTGTATAAGGCGGATGTAATAGACCCACTGAAGATGCTGGTGACAACCATCTTCATTGCCCTTGCTAATACTACAGGCCGGGGGCCACAGTAAGTCGTGGAAGCTATTGGGATGCCCCTTTCCTCACAGGAAATTAATCATAAAACAAAATTAATCATAAAACAAAGATGAACATTCTGAAATAGGAAAACATTATATCCAAGATAATTTGGTCCTTTGAACAATTAGTATTTTAAACTCATGGCATTTTGTTGCTTTTTAGGTGACGTTCTTGTAGATTTGTCATTGATTTCTTCCGAAACTGGCAAGACGATTCTCTCAACCAAGATACCATTCTATGACTGTACTTTGATGAAAAGGTAAACCAGTGACTTTTCGTTCACTACGTATTAAGCTTGTCATACTTGCTGTACTTTAAACTCAAAGAATGATCTCTTAAAAACACTTAGCACCATTTATTCCACACATCCAAGCCTCCAATGCTGTAATGCATACAAACCTTTAAGAGAATACTGTATTTATTTCCTGGAATTGCAGACAAGATTTTTTTTACTACTGTATAAGTTTGACCAAGGCACTAATGGTTGTAGATAGGAATCATAATTCAATGAGGCCCATATGCTCAAACAACTGCTCAAGTGCTCAAAACACTTAACTTTACCAAACCTTGAAACTATTAAGCTGATCTAAGTCAGGATGTCTAGGGTGACATAGTGTTAGAGCACTCGCATTTCAGTCCTAGGGTATCAGGTTCAATTCCTCGGTATAGGAATCATGTGAGTTTATTTTCATGTATAACTAAAGGCATGGTGATATGCATATTTTGTATTCCAGATGTGTTTTGTGTTCTGAGAGCAACTACGACTGTGATTGGTGCATTTATAAAGGGAAATGTTATGCTGATGGAAATACTCAATGCCCAGGGGAGATTATTTTGTCCAGCCAGGTATGTCAAACAAAATATTTTATATCTGAACATGCTTACTTACACATGTACATCTGTACAAACTAGGCAACAGGGTTAGATGTACAAGTTTGAAGAAGCTTGGATCTGCCTGCTAATCTGGATAGATAGATACATTTATTGAGAAATTACATTTATGTTAGCATTTTAACTCCTTAGCATTAATTTCTTAGCATTTGGACATAAAAAGACACATGAATATGGAAGATATAACTCAAACAAAGAATCTAATTTTTAAGAGAATAACATGTAGTCTAAAAATGGAAAACTTTACATCAAATCATAAAGGTGTCTATTGATGACAAAAATGCCTAACACTAATTATGAAATAATTTCTGTTACTGTACTCAGAAACGTACACCTGGTGCTGTGGGCTGCCCACGTCTTGCAGAAAACCAAACCTTTCTACTGCCCAATAAAATTTCCACATCAATGAAGATACAAGCCAAAAACCTTCCTGCAATAAAGGTAAGCCTTGTTATATATCTAGCACATATTCCTCACACTATGAAAATCAATTGTAATTGTTTCATTTGATTATTGTTCTGTGAAAATAAAATAAAATGGCGGTGTATGTCTTGTGGTACTCTTTAAAACAGATACCATGTAGGCCTGTGTTTGAGGGTCAAGATTTTAACTCCACTGAGAAATCTGCTGCAACTAATTAGTTCTCTCTGTCGTATTTGGAACCATGAATTGTTCCGGCCAGAGATTAATTCATTCATGACCTCTTGCACAACAGACTATGCTCAACCAACTAATATAAGCCAGTGCCATGTCAATATCATTGCAATTATCACTGACAGTAGCTTGCATGTATATTATATATATATATATATGTTTTTTTCAGTATAACTTCCAGTATGAATGCAACGTGATGGTTGAAGGAAAGAATTTCAGGGTTGGTGCTTTACGGGACAGTGACAGCCAAGTAACTTGTCAAGAATCCGCAGTAAGTACAGCATGACAAGATGAATCTTATGTTTGTATACATATGAAGCCATATGATAGCGTTCTTGCAGACAGGCACATTCCTTTTTGAAGAGCCCTGAATCTGCCCTTGGTCAGATCTTAACCCAAACTATGAATATTTAGCTAATGTACTTTTTTTTAAGTATTCGTACTCCAAGACAAGCCAGTATTCACCTGCAGAGCTGAAGGTTTTATGGCGAGGAGAAGATGAAATCCATAAACCTGATTCTATAAAAGGTATTTACATTAACGTTCATTGTTTACAAGTAATAACAGACTTAAGAGCAATGCAAGAAGACTGTTTTTCATTTAATGCCAATTTACACTTCCTCAAGTGTTATTTCTTTATGTAGCAGTAACACTAGGAGGTAGATATTATATGGATACAACTCAAACAAAGAATCATTGCCAAGGAAATGATGTACAAGGTCTAAGTTGAGAAAACATCGCTCCCAAAATAATGCTTCTACATTTTTTTTTCAGTTTCCCTCTACAAATGTGATGTGAATAGAGATGACTGTAGCACGTGCCTTGTTGCCGATGGTCAGCTCAACTGTGGATGGTGTAAGCTGACGAGTTCCTGTCAGGTAGAAAAGGGATGTGATCAAAAATGGGTTCATCGATCACAACCTTGCTACACTAAGCCAGTCATAAAGAAGGTTTGTCACACCATATGTAATCATATATTGCTTCATATTCTTGGGTTTCACAGCACAAACACAAACCTTGTTTGTCTTTGTTGCTGCTGCTGCTGTTGTTGCTGTTGCTGCTGCTGTTGTTGCTGCTGCTGTTGCTGCTGCTGCTGTTGTTGTTGTTGCTGCTGCTGTTGTTGATTTTGTACGTTCGTCATGATAATGTCGTTGTTGATGATGCTGTGGTTGTTGTTGTTGATGCTGTGGTTGTTGCTGATGCTGCTGCTGTTGATGTTGTTGTTGCTGCTGCTGTTGCCGCTGTTGTTGTTAATGTTGTTCTTGAAACAAGTTCGACATAAAATACAAAAAAGGCAAAAACAAGAGCATTGCCAGTAAAATCAAGCAAGACCAACTAAATTTGTACAACAGCACTTCAAGATCCTTCAACATTCTTTTATGTTGTTCGACAGTTTTGGCCCATGTCTGGGCCACCTCGAGGAAACACAGAAATAGAAATCACAGGAGTTGACTTCGGGAAGGTTTTTGGTGACATCAAGGATTCTGTTTTCATTGGCAACTACTCTTGCATTCCTGATCCAAGAAAATATGTAGTGTCCAAAAGGTATTCATTGCTGAGTCAGAATTTATTATTGTCAAGTGGATGGAAAAAAAATATGGCAGTTTATCCTACTCGTAGAAAAAAAATTTTTAAAAATAATTCGAATTTTATCGATACTCTGAAACACCCTCTGAGCTGACTGATCTAAATCAGGGCACGCACAAAGCACAGATCGAAATCAAATCTAACTCGTTAGGCTTTTTAAGGGAGGAAAACCGGAGAACCAGGAGAAAAACCCTCGAATCAGAGGAGATACCTAACAAACCCTAACATGTAGTAAACGTTTATCTAAACGACCTTGTCTTCCTAACCTGACATTTTTATACTTCCATGTTTCTGTAGGATAACATGTAACACTACTAAAAGCAATGAAGAAGTCAAAGGACCTGTTATTGTGGTCGTCAATGGGATAAGAGGTTCATCTCGAGATCTCTTTTCCTATCAGGTACAGTAACACTACGTTATAACCGGCTGAGGTTAACTAAAGCCTTGGTTGACACGAGCAACGTAAATGCAAGAAAAAATACGTGTGAACTACACAGCAATGCAAACGTTAGACTGATTCCATAAGTCTTATTTTCGCTCCTTTGTTTCTGGTGGTCTTGCAAATGTTTGTATTTGCGTTTTCAACGTATGAACATGTGTTTACAAACGCGACCAAAAAAACATTGATTCCGTTCGCGTTTGTGTTGCTCACGTGAATTAAATTTTCAGATAAACTATTGAGCAAATGCCTGGTAAATTTAGAGCAAAAAAGCGCGGGGAAAAAAAGGAAAGGCACAGGCAACAACAAGGCGTTTAAAACGATACGAAAAAGAGTAATATCAATAATAAAACAGAAATAAAAACAATAAAAAAGAGGATTAAAAGCAATAGGAAACACTGGAATTATATGGTTATGAATTTTAAATCACTGTTTTTCAATCTCCAGACTCCCGTAGTGAAAGACTTCAATCCCAAGAAAGGACCGGAGTCTGGGGGTTCGTTAATCAACATCACTGGTATCAACCTGAATACAGGAAGGCGAATCGAGGCATGGCTTGGGAAAACACCCTGTGTTATCGACAGATTAAAGTAAGTATTTTTGTCTACAAGTTATAAAAAATAGGATTATCTCAAATTAGATTATTTGGTACTGATAGGAAATCTGCTGAGAATTATAATCTTTTGACTCCTTTTTTTTTTTTTTTTTGCCGAAGAACATCTTTTACATTTGTAGAATGCGCTTTATAACCAACGTTAACATCTTTAATCGTTAATATCTTTGTCTTACTATATTTTCAATATTTTCAAATTGTGTTTTAGGGTTACAGATACAAGTATTCCATGTATAACTCAAGCGGTTTCAACCAGAATGAGAAGAGCGGTGTCTAACGAGTCGACATCTCACGATGTGGTGGTTTCATTTGATGGCTTTTTTCCTCCCAGTCCACCAGGAAAGTTTGAATTCAAAGCTGACCCGGTGTATGCCGGTATCAACCCCGACAGAACCTTCCCAAGGTATGTACGTGTATTTACCTTGATTATTCTTAGGGTGTTACGATCATTTGGCGCCCCGTTTAACGTTTAGGACAAGAAGGGAAGCATTTTATCGATACCTTGTAACAACCTCTGGACTGAAGTCAGAGCACAACTAACTCACGGATTTAACCCTGAAACAAAGTTTGGGCTATTCAAAGTAAGAGTATCACTCACTCATAGATGAAATAGGAATTTAGCGAGTTGGGGTTTTCGAAAACCGGAGAAGCCAGAGAAAAATTATTGAATCAAGGGAGAGACCTAACAAATTCTACTCACATGCTGAGTCCAGGAATCAAACCCAATTTAGACCCAGGAGAAAAACCCTTGGATCAAGGGAGAGACCTAACAAATTCTACTCACATGTGATGCTGAGTCCAGGAATCAAACCCAATTTAGACCCAGGAGAAAAACCCTCAAATCAAGGGTGAGACCTAACAAACTCTACTCACATGTGATGCTGAGTACGGGAATTGAACTCGAGACCACTATTTCCCACGAGATACGAGGTTGTTTTAACTAAAGTTTTTTTAAAATTATTTTCTTTGTAGTGGTGGTCTGAAGTTAACCGTCACAGGAGAGAATTTTGACAGCGTTCGCATACCAAAGATATATTTTACAAACGCTGACGACAAGAGTTCTGTGTCAAAAGAAGAGGTAACATCATATATTTGTCTTACTAGAGCAGTTTCCGCGCGAATGTGAAAAGCTCGGTGCCGTAAGCGTGCCGTGCCGTGACCGTGATGTTTTATAGAGTTTTAATTGGCTGATCCCCCCACTCCCCGCGCAATGTGACCCTTTCCACGCCGTGTTTATGCCGTGTACCGGGTATTTACTTGATTGGATGGAGAGTAAATTCTCGAGCAATGTGATTGGTCTGGCGTATCTTTCGCCGTGTGACGACCATGTTTGTGCCGTGAGCTTTTCACAGTCAAAAGAAACCTGCTCTAAAGTTCGCTAAGTTAGCTGTAAACCTTATCGAATTGTACCTTTTTGAGATAGCAAACATGGTGCATTGTGGTCTAGCCTGGGTACTGTCTTTTGTTTACCATGCATTTGATGGTATTTGTGTTCGTCTAGTCAAATTTGCTTATTTTTACAATAGCACGAAGACGTTTTACACTAATTTGAATACAGACTTTGAGCATGCGCATACGTTTTTCATTCGTGTCTATATAGTCACGTGTTACTTTCCCTACAGATCTGTGACGTCAAAAGCAGTAAAACCATGGTATGCCCCAGTCCTAATATAACCATTTTCAACATTGAGCCTGGTTCAAAGAATGGTTCTGAGCTTATCGTTGGTTTGGTGATGGATAATGTACCGGGGCTTGAGAATGTGACTACCTTGGCTCTTGTGATGGATCCTTACTTTACGCCTTTTGATGGAGTTGAGGAAATTAACAGCGAAAGCCTTATTCTTAAGGTTTGTCTTGATTTTAAAAAAACATTTAGACGAAAATATCTGGAAGATTTTGAACGTGGGATTCTATGATTTCGATTTGGATATTGCTAATTGGCGCCAAAAGGATTTCACTCTCAACCAACCACAATTAAGTAGTTTAAGATGCCTTCCTGTCTCAACCAATCAAAATAACCGGTTCGAAATGGCTGCCTTAACCAATGAAAAATATAGTGCTTTCAAATGGCTTTCTGTCTTATCCAATCAAAATAGCGGCTTCGGAATAGTTTCCACTTCGTTCTCTATACCAATTAAATTACCTGGTTTCAAATGGCTTCACTCTAAACCAATCAAAATCTATTCAAAGCGCGTATTTTCTTGACTAATCACAAGGCATGAATGCCCCAAAGTGTGGAGTGTTGTTTTTCATATGTAATATTTCATTATCTTAGGGAAAGAATTTAGATATACTATCCAAAGAAGATGTTACCGTGCTGGTGGAAGGGATACACTGTAATGTGACAGTCCTGGGTGAAGTAAGTATCAATAATTAAAAGAAAGAAATAGATCTTCACAGTCTACATCAATTCGTTTGGAAGTCAAAAGGGTTRATTTTTTCTTGCAACAGGAACAGCTTGTTTGTATAATTCCCAAAGAAAAAGACCTTCCCGAAGCAGAGAAGAAAGAATACACAGTCATCGTAAGCGTCTATTCTTTATATATTATTGAATATAATGAATATTGGTCGATTAAAAGCTTGGTTTTGATCGCTTAGCTTCTAAAACACCAGGAATTTTACAAATACCATTCATAACTTTTTTAAAGTATTTGTTATTCAATATTAATGTGGAAAAAACGTTAAAGTTTGGCACTTTTTTGTTGTTGGAAATTTAGAAATTTAAAGTAAAACGATCGTTTTGAAATCAGTCGAAATTTTTGGCAATAAAAATGATTTTTGTTTGCTTTACTTCAACCTTAAAAATAGACGAAAAATTAATTAATTAATTAGTTAATTAATTAATTTACTTATTCAGACTGTTTTAAGTGGCTTTAAAATAAAACACGAATGTGGTAATATATGTGGTAACGATAWAATAGCGCAGCGCAACCGTGACGTCATAAAAACGAAGACAAAGGCGAAATTCGGACAAACAAACTAACAAGTTTACTTTCAGCAGATAATTTTCACAGCCGATCGCAGTTGATCTTAGTTTACATGGGTTATTATTGTAACTTTCAGTAGAAATAATAAAATCGTTTCGTATAATCCTCGTAGCGGTTAAACAAAATGCAATGCTTGTCCGAACCTTTAAGCCATTTTTAGAATCAGTGCGCTGCGCTATTGAGATTGTCATCTTGATTTTCCCACGTTAAGATCTTCAGTCCCGATTATGATGAAGATCTTTGCGTGAGTTTTGACCAAACCCTTGCGCAGAATCTGAAATTCAAACTACAAATACCCCGTCTTTCTCCCTGTTTTTCATCACTCTGAAAGGAGTATACTTGATTTGCTAAGATTTATGATATTTGTAAGCTATAGCCCTCTGTAAAAAAGGCCTTTTCTCTAGTCCACGTACTTCAAACCAAATTCTTTTTTCTCTTAATAGGTAAAAGCAGGTTTTCTTACCTTTAACCTTGGAAAACTAAAGTTCTTCATGCCTGTAAAAGGCAAGGATATTCCATCCTGGGTCTATGCTGTCGTTGCTGCCGTAGCATTCATTCTCTTGGTCGTCATAATATGTCTTTATTGCGCCTATCGAAGGAAAAAACAACAGCAATCGAAATCCACCAAGATACATGAGATAGAGAGGGGAAAATTTGAGTTAAGAGTTGCCAGGGAATGCAGAGAAGGTAATAAAGATGACATCTTGGAATTTTTAGCCTCTAAACTTGAAAAATTGTTATAAAATAATTGGGATACTACGCGCGCTATGATTGGTCGAAAACCATGTTTGATGAGAGTATCAAAACACGCTATCGTCATTTTTAATCTATCGCGCGCGCTCATTGGTCAGTTTGAATAAGACGGCACGTAGGGAGAATTTACTTAGACTTTGCTTTTTTCCGATCTTTTTGCACGTTTGTTATTTCATATGTTTGGTACTCTGATCAAAACACTTGGGATGTTTGGAGAACACTCGAGAAGCTGGAAACCACTCCGCTACGCGTCGTGGTTTTCTACGCTCCTCTCGTGTTCTCTCAACATCCCGCGTGTTTTGATCAGAGTATCAAATACGGAAAACTGTTTTTGATCTGTTAACAGAATGTTTACAAAAATTTTAACGAATTGTTTCGCATACCCCACTTCTACGCTATCTACGTTACTTACAAATATACTAATTTGAAGGTAAGATTAACTTGTTTTTGGACTATTATCGTCTTCAGCGTTTGCTGAGCTGCAAACAGACATGACAGATTGGTCGAATGATCTGTCCTCATCTCTAATACCGTTCTGGGATTTCCGTACGTACGCCATGCACGTGCTGTTCCCTGGTGTTACTGATCATCCTGTTCTAAAAATGAAGGTAGAAATTGCGTTCAGTTATCTGACTATTCTTCCTTCCCCTTACATCATTCCATCCTCCCATGCTTCTTTCCATCCTCCAATCCATTTCATTTTCATTTCATTTCATCCTACCATCTACAATTTATCCATCCATTCATCCATCCATACATCTATCCATTCCATTTCATTCCGTCTGTCCATCCCTCCCYCCCTCCCTCCCCCCTCCATCCATCAATCCATCCTTCCATCTATCTGTCTATTCTGCACTTTTTCATTTGTTCTTACTTCCATTTTCATTATTGCGTCTTTTCATTCTAGAGTAATCTATCGCACAACTGGGAGAGTGGTCTTCGAAAGTTTGCTCAACTCGTGTACAACAAGGACTTCTTGTTGATATACATCAAAACCATTGAAACACAGAGTAGCTTCAACATGAAAGACAGGTACGTTTTTCCAGTATTACCAATCACTCTACAGCAGACTATACCATATACAGATGCCTCGGTCACAATGGAATGTAGTGCCTTCAGATTACGTAGAAATAATACCGAATATGCTAAATTCCATTTCTATCTGTGAGTTACCCGTGCCCTGACTTAGATCAGCCCAGAGGTTGCTTCAGGGTTTGATCTGTGAGTTAGCCATTCCCTGACTTGGATCAGCCCAGAGGTTGTTTCAAGTTTCGATCTRTGAGTTAGTCGTGCCCTGACTTAGATCAACCCAGAGGTTGTTTCAGGGTTCCATCTGTGAGTTAGCAATGCCCTAACTTAGATCAGCCCAAAGGATGTTTCAGGGTTCTATCTGTGACATCTTTTCTTTAATAACACGAGCCATTCAAATATACTTCCCAAACTMAACGAGAATGTGGATATATTTTAGGGCTATTGTCATTACACTACACCTTGCTAAAGAATCGTATTTTCATTGGAGAGTCGAAAATATTAAAAGCTTTGTTCACCTTACTTGAGAAATATTTGCTGTTTTTTTTCTAGATGTAACCTTGCTTCGCTTTTAATGGTGACTCTACAGAACAAGATGGATTATGCAACAGAGTAAGTTACGACCATGTTGACAGGAATCCTTCTGAACGATTCGCAATATTCGATGCGCGTAGAGCATTCTGGGTTGGACTAGATTATGCTCTTCGCTCTCATTTAGACGCAGAGTCTTTTAAACATTTTAAAATACGTTCCAATTTTTTTTTTCCTGCTTTATGGCCTGTGGGAAGATTTAAATAAAATAAAATATATCAATGATATAAATATAATAAGTAATGGTGAATATTTACTGGTACTCTGTGGAATGAGTCTAATTCCTAATTTTCTGGATTTTTTAAATTTCATTAATTTTTTCCCTTCAGAATACTGAAGCAGTTATTGTGCGAGCTCATACGCAAATCTGTAGCACAAAGCCACCCAAAACTGCTCCTTCGAAGGTAAGTAAAAAATTTTGCATATGCTCTCCCGATAACTGGGTTGGTCAGCGAGATAAATGACAGCCATGCGCAGTGAGACCCAAGTTCTGTGTTGAATAGCAAGCTTGCGTAGTGAGATATCAAACGTTAATCGTTATACCACTTTCTTTGATTGTAATGATGCCAAACAACGGATAGGAGGGCACCTAGTTGCTGCGCTGAGACTAGGCAGACCGTTTGGGTGGACAGCTGAGACTAGGCAGACCGTTTGGGTGGACAGATGAGACTAGGCAGACCGTTTGGGTGGACAGCTCCTTGAAACGTTTGAGGCCCACGTATTTGTAAAGTGAATTTTTTTGTCTTGTTTTGTAGGACTGAATCTGTCGCAGATAAGCTATTGACCAACTGGTTGGCATTTTGTATGTACAACGACCTCAAGGTACGATCAACTGTCGATTGCTGGGTTTCAATCAGTTGATAAAAGTCTTTGAATCTCATTATCTGGTCCAAATGAGGGTCAAACCATTTTCTGTCGGACAAAAAGAATTCTATCTAAAACATGATTCAGCTGATGAAAATTACACAACAGACAGGAAACGACATCAAATGAAACCAAGCAACTGATGTACTGTAGAAATGGTCTACAGCCAACAAACTCTGACTGTCTTTCGTTTCTTTTAATAGAAAGATTTGGGTAAGCCGCTATTCATGCTGTTCATGGCGATCAAATGTCAGGTAGAGAAAGGTCCTGTTGATGCTTGTACTGGAGAAGCGCGCTACTCACTGAGTGAAGACAAGCTTCTACGACAAACCATTGAATACGAGGTATGAAACGTGCAGCTTCAAACTCTATCTGGACGATGTTTTTTGCGGTCGTTATGACTAGAAAAAGCAGGAAATACAAATTTGAATAAGAAAGAAAATTCGAGAAGCATTTTGGTAGTGGTAGTGAAATGACGCCATCATGCAAATGCATTTTTATAAAGATTATTTTCTTCTGGTTCTCTCTATATAGCACTTACCTTGCACGTTTGTTGCCTTGTTTCGTAGACGTTGAAGGTTACTGTCAGCCAGGAAGATGAATCTCCGATCCAAGTCGCCCTGCTGGACTGTGACACCATCACTCAAGCCAAAACAAAAATACTGGATGCTTTCCACAAGGTACGTTTTCCTTAGATGTTTGTCCTACGATTCCATCCTTTCATGCCATCTTATTATGCTTGCCAGTCATCTTATCCCTCTAACCATCCATTGTTTTTATATAACTATCCATCCCATTCCATTCGTCTGTCCATCTATTTAGTTATTTATGATTGTATTTAACCTTTTTGTCTATTTGCAGCACGAGCCTTATTCAAGCAGGCCAACTCCTGAAACATTCCAGCTAAGTATGTACACTCTCCTCTCCTCTCCTCTCCTCTCCTCTCCTCTCCTCTCCTCTCCTCTCCTCTCCTCTCCTCTTTTTCTCTTTTCCTCTCTTCTCTTCGTGTTTGGA